TTACAAGCCAAAGTCAGAAGAGAAGCCTACCACTTACGAAACAAAAGATTACAAGCCAAAGTCAGAAGAAAATACTGAAGAGAAACCTACCACTTATGAAACCAAAGATTACAAGTCAAAGTCAGAAGGAGAACCAAAGCCTTATTATGGTACAAAGCAACAGACTTATGAGCCAAAGCCTGTAGAAAAGACCGTTTATGACAAAAAATCAGAAGGAGATGAATACAATTACAAGGCCAAGCCAGAAAAGAACAACAAGCTTCTCTCTATTAGCGTTGGAGGGACTGTTTTATGCAAATCAGGTTCCAACTATAAACCAATTCAAGGTAATGTTCTTTAGACATCAAGACTTCTTTTCTCGGTAATGTTCCATTCATAGTTCTGCTTATAAATTAATTTTTTTGATTTACAATGAGTATTGCAGGGGCTTTGGTAAAGGTGACATGTCAAGTTGTTGATGAGATCGGCCTGGAGAAAATTCTCCCTATTTCTAGCGTACCAACTGATTCAAATGGCTACTTCTTTGATTCGTTGTCCTCTTTAACTCATGTGTTAGGTACCACTTTGAAGCTTAAAGGGTGCAAAGCATTCCTGCAAGGCTCCCCACTGGAAACATGCAATGTTCCAACTGATGTCAACAATGGAATTTCTGGTGCTCCTTTTACCAACTATCATATTCTCAATGAGAGGCAAACCATGTTGTACAATGTGGGGCCGTTCTTCTACACTCCAACACCTCAATCTGTCCCTACTAACAACAATGGTTACTAGATTTTGAGTTTTATTCTTCATGACTAAACAACGATATGTTTCTTCTTCTTCTGTTTTGGTCGCTATCAATGTTCTCTATTTTTTTTCCTTCTTCTTCTTTGATTACATATGACGACTAATGATTCTTGTTGTTGATTTGATGATTTTATTGGCAACGCTGGAATTTACAGACTCTCTGCCTTGATATGTAATAAGCTATGATTAATGACAATATATTTTGAGAATGTTTAATTCCTAGGACTTTTATTATCATGGATATATATGTAGTTATGTACTCTAAAGTCTAAAGTTTTCAACTCAATTGCACATTATACCCTACACCCATATGAATTTTTTTTTTTAATTCCATATGAAAAGAAAAGAAATTGCAGGGAAAAGACCAAATTGGATTGACATAAATTGAAAATTGAAGAACCTTTAAAACTCAGTTTTTTTTTTTTTCAGTAAAAAACTCTAAGTTTATATAGTCGGTTTTACTCATAAATAAAATAAATAAATGATAAATAAAATTTTCTCAAAAATAAAAAGATTTTAATACTAACTCTATATACCCATAAAATTCATCTTAAAAATAATTTAGGAAGACCGATCGGTAAATTTTTTTTTTAAATAATTATCAAACTATACTACTTTGGCTTTTCCAACTCCTACTTGTTCAACCTAAAAAAAATTCCCAATTATTATGAGAATATACCTAATAACCTTCACCAACGCGCGTCTATAAAAGAAAAACGTTGCAAACAGAGAATATATTTCAATGGCGACAAGGGAAAGAGATGTTAGAATTAATCTATCAAACATGCCAGATCAAAGATTATTAATCAATTAATCTAACATGCCATAAACTTTATGTGGAAGCGGATCAACTTACTTACCTTGAGTGCTTATAGTCTCTGGTAAATTACTTTAGATGGTGTGTAAATTTTTAACATACTGAGACTAGGGACCCAAGTGGTTTAATATGTATTTATAAGTGAGTTTCTCCATCAAAAACTTTTCTTGAAAACCCTAGCTGACAAGCCCATTAATTCATGGTAAAATATTTGGGCCACATTTAGTTATTGAGCCTTAATTAAATTTATACCAAAAACCACCTTATGAGAATTATTTCTACGAGAGAAAGTTATGGATGATGATGATGAACCAAAACCCAAATTACAGAATTTGATGTTATGTAAACTTTGTGAAGAAAACAGACCACACTCGTTTATGTTCAAAGAGACATAATGCCGTCGTTATTTCTGCTTGGGTTGGGTTGCATTCACCAACATATCGCGACAAAGATGAAGGAAAAACATCATTAGAATTCCATGCCCCAGTCTGGTTGCGGACGTCTGATAATTCCCAAAGCATGTTTCTCTTTGTTGCCGGAGGCTGTGATTTATCGATGGGATATAGAGTTGTAATACTCTATAACCCCTCCGGTTAGGGTTTTTGATTGTCCTTATTGCTCAGCTCCATTAAGTGATGATGATCTATGTAGACACGGATTTTTTGCTATGTCACGTGTGGTAAATGCGACGAACATAAGTCACGTGTCACGCAAGTAAAATCAAATATAGTGGAGTTGACTTGTATACGTGGCAGGGTCTGAGGTCAACACTACTTGGGATGTACAGGAGAGCTTGGCTTGGTGGATCAGATTAGGAGTTAGTTGGAGTATTCCAACCTTTTACCGATGGGAGTGACGTGGCTTACCCAATTTATCTCTTCAGAAAAATACCACTGTCACCATGACACACTCTTACCCATTATCTTTATTAACCATATTATCCATAAATATATTAGAGATAGTTATGGTGATTATATTATTAGCCATATTATCCATATATATATTAGTGATAATTATGGTGATTATATTATTAACCATATTATCCATATATATTAGAGATGATATGATGATTATATTTATTAACCATATTATCTTTTTATATTATTAAAGATAATTATTATGGTAATTATCAAGACTCCTCAGCTCACCACTATAATGCGCTTTTTTGGATTTTGATTTTGAGAGAAAAAAGGCCGAAACTCTGCCAAAATATTCAGAGACAATTCCCACTCAAAAAGACTACAAGTTCTTCAAAAACATCAAGTTTTGATAAAAAAAACACATGCCACTTATGCGCTCATTGTAGGTATCTACTTTGGTCTTCCTCTCCACCGCCTCTTGCATATCTCGGCTCCATTTGCGGCGTCTTTTCAACCGTAATCTCCGACTCCATTTGCGGAGTCTTCTCAACCGCAACGAAAAAAAACCCTCTACAATCTCGAAGAAGAGGAAAATTGTGATGGTCTCAAACATTATGATTGCCCTCGTTGTTCTCAAAGTATCTGTGCTTTTCAACCATGGAAATTTTGGTTGCCTCCAATTTTATTAGGAGGAGAGTTGACTAAACATACGTAATTGAAGAAGATGAAGGGGATTAAGAAGGAAAATTAGGCATATCATGAATTCAATGATTACAATACATGAGTCATCTCCAAAAAAAGATTAGAAGTATTTTTTTTTTCTCTTTCTTTTTTCAATTATATATGTACTTAGTCGGATTCTGTGGTGTTTTTAATATATTCCTTTTTGATAATTATATAGATTTTTAAATATTTTCTTGTGAATTCTATATAACCCCATATAGGTCTATAAAGGAATCCGGTAGCCATTCATTAAAAGCTTAGGTTAGTGGAGAAGTCTAAAGGTTGACTAATTTGAAATTGAATCAACTTAGATTAGTGGAGAAGTCTTGAAAACTCAGGTTAGGGGAGAAATCCGGAACCCGATTGGGGAAGATATCTCCTAATGCCTATTATAATTAATTTCTTCAGTTATGTAAATGTCATAACTTCCTGATCCCAAACATGTCAATTTTGCATGCAGATATTGTTGTTATATATATATATATTTTATAACATATATATATAACAATAATATATAATAATATATATTTTTTTTATAACATATATATATATATAACAATAATATATAATATATATATAATATATATATATATAATATGTATATTTTATTTTATTATAAATAAAAAACAATAATTATGGGAAGTGAAAGTACTAAAAAACCAGTCAAAAGATTTAACCTTATGAATTTGATTACTATTTAGCTTGGTTTTTTTGTCATTTCAATATTGATTTTTTCGTTATTCTCACAAACTTCTGAGGGTATTTTTGACTTTCTAACAATTTAATATAATATAACATGACATATTTATAAGTGGTTTGGTTAAACGATATATTTAACATTATATAATTTTCTCTTCGGTTATCCAATTAAGGTGATTTAAGTGTCTATTAAAAGATTGTTCCATGATCTACAACTTTCATGAAGGACTCGAAAACTAAATTCAATGTTTCAAGTATCAAAAATGCTTCCGAAAAATTTGTTATTTCGGTTAACGGGAATAGACGGTCCACTTAATATTATATAATTTGAGCTTATGATGGAAATTGGATCCACTGGAGGGTTTTTTTTTTCAAACTTCCCAAAATACCCTCGGTAAACTTAAAATTCACATCAATTTATGATCATACGTGTGATTTAGCCTCGGGTGCGTGGTAACTCCCACGGACTCGAGTCCATAGGACCATCACTCTAATGGTAATATCGACAGATCAGGGTAACATAGTAATTTTACCCAAACGAGTCACTACGGTATCTTTCCAATCCTGAATACGCGATCTTCAAGTTTAATTACATGCATCGCGCTCTTAGGGGCAAAATAGCAAATTTGCCTATCAAGGGTATTTCGGTAAATTTTCACTCTCTTAAAGTGCGGTGACATTCCTTATATGATATAGTTGTGACCCTAATCGGTCGGATTCGAAATTGTACCTCAACGGAATAGAATAGTGCACTTTGGCTACTTAGGGGCAATATGGTAATTTACCCACTCCAAGGGTAAAACGGATATTTTATGATTCTACGAATATTACGGAGTGACAGGAGAATTATTCGGACAAATTATCACAACCGATGCGGTTGAATTCTTTGAATTCCTCTTCAAAAGGTAAATTTCGTAATTTAACATATTAAGGGTGATTTAGTAATTTTACCCATCCAAGGGTAAAATTGTAACTTCACTTACCAATTTATTAAATCCAATTCTTTATTCTAAAATTTTTCTTTTATTTCTTTTATTTTCTTTTTCCCCTTTTTTTAATTCTTTTTTTTTGGTAATTAGACGGGGCCCAAGGCCCAAAGGAAATAACAAAGAAAATTACATAGTCATAATCCTTGGGTACGAGATACCCAAGGAATCCGCCAGAATCAGGCTATTACAACCAGCTGGGGGTCTGCTCAGATTCTGCAGTCCTGGGCGTTGGAGACAGCTCCATTTTGCTACCCAATCAGCCAGCATGTTTTTCTCTCTAGGGATGAATTTCAGCGACCAAGTCCAAGACTCATTCAGCATATCTTTAATTTCCTTGACAAGAGGGAAGAGGGGGTGATGTGGATCAACACCACCTGTGATAGCTTGGACAGAGCTGCAAGAGTCAGTTTCAATCTCCACAAAGTTTAAATTAAGTTGCACAGCAAACTTCACACCGTAGTAAATGGCCCACATTTCAGCAATATCAATGCTACAGTTTCCCATATTAGCTCCAAATCCACCAATCCAATTCCCCTGTGAATTTCGAAAGACTCCCCCTGCCGCTGCAATATTTTTCTGTTGGTTCCAACTCCCATCGACATTAAGCTTAAGCCACTGCTCTTTCGGTTTCTCCCAGCTGAGATGCACCACCTGCTTCACCTTGCACTTAGTATTAGCATCAGCATCTTTGAACCACTAAACCATGGTTTTACAAATTATCTCAATTCTTTTGTCAGTAGGGATGGATTCATTGGAAAAAATTTGTCTATTCCTCCATTTCCAGATCAGCCAACAGGTATTAGCGAATAGACTAGGCCAAGACCAGTCCCCAAACTTTTCATCTTTGTAACTAATGACATTCAGGTTGACCCATTCCTCCAGGTTAAGAGATCTGCTACTGCTGAATTTGCTGGAGATCATCAGGATGTCCCATATGACTTTGGCATTGGTGCAGTCCCTTAAGATGTGCAGAACTGACTCAGAGTGGTGGCCACAAATTGAGCAGGATGGATCCGTGGTGAAGGATCTAATCATTCTATTATCATTACCAAGGATCCTATTCTGGGTTGCCAGCCAAAGGAAATTCTGGATCTTAGGTTGCACTTTAATTTTCCAGATAGCTTTGATACAAGGACTAGAGCACGGTAAGTGCGCATTCAGACTCTGAAAAGCTGATTTTGTTGTGAAGTTTCCATTGGAAGTTTTGCACCAAATGATGCAGTCTGAAAGCTTAGAAAAGAGATTGACTGGGATGTTGATAACCCTAGCGATGAGGAAGCTTGGTATATAATCAAGCAGCTTGTTCACCATCCAACCTTCTTCATCGATGAACTCACTTACCAGAATATCTTTTGCCCCCAAATTGGGCACTAAGTGGAGGAAGCTGGCCAGGTTGCTGTCATCGAGGAGCCATTTATCATACCAAAAACTTATTTTTGATCCATCTCCCACTCTCCATTTAAGTCCACCACTTAAAAGATCCCCTGCTTTAAGAATGCTCTTCCAAGTGTGAGACGCTGAGGTATTACTTTGGGTACTCCCATGTGAGAGATATTTATCACTGAGAATTTGCTACCACAATTGATCATTTGACTGTAGCAACCTCCAACCCATCTTAGCCAAGAGGGCAAGATTCATATCTCGGGTCTTTTTAAGTCCAAAACCCCCTGCCTCTTTAGGTTTACAAATGGTATCCCAATTCATTAAGTGCACCTTCCTCTTTCCTTGCGTGCTTCCCCACAAGAAACTTCTGTTGAGTTTGTCAATTTCTTCACAGACCGCAATTGGAATATGGGCTGTTTGCATAGTGTAATAAGGAATGGGAGCCGAGGCTGATTTGATAAGTGTGGATCTACCTGCAATAGAGAGGTGATTCACTTTCCAGCTTGCTAGGCGTGATTGGACTTTTTCAACTAATCCCCAGTAGGTTTTTTTTGCCACCCTTCCATGCAATAAGGGAACCCCAAGGTACCTGCCCAGATCATCAGTTCTTGCAATTCCGCTTGCCTCACAAATTTCATTCATCAACCTTCTTGGTGTATTCTTGGTAATGAAAATCTTGGATTTAACTAAGCTAACAGTCTGTCCCGACCACCTGCTGAAGATGTCCAGGGAGTCTTTTACCACTGCAACCTGCTCTGTATTAGCTTGGGAGAAAAGGACCAAATCGTCAGCAAAGAAGATATGTGAGACCCCATGGCCTCCTCTAGATGCTTTAACTGTTTTCCACTTGTGCTCCAACACTTTACCTTGAATAATCTGGGAAAGCCTCTCCATTCCTATGACAAAGAGGTATGGGGACAGGGGGTCCCCCTGTCTTAACCCCCTCGTAGGTTTGAACTCATTTGTTTTCTCCCCATTCCAAAGTATTTGAAAGGACACTGTGGTGATACAATCCATAATGATTGAGAGAAGCCAACCTTCAATGCCAATCTCTTGTAAAGCTTCTTGGAGGAAAGTCCATTCCATTTTATCATAGGCTTTTTCTAAGTCGATTTTCCAGATAGTTGCCCCTGTTCTACCTTTCCTCTTTCTGAGAGAGTGAAGCATCTCTTGCGCCACAACAATATTATCAACAATTTGGCGCCCGGGAACGAAGCTATTTGTGTGGGAGAAATGAGCTTAGGCAAGATAGTTTTTAGTCTATCGACCAGAATCTTGGAAATCACTTTATATATGACATTGCATAGGCCTATTGGGCGAAGCTGGGTGATACTGGTAGGGTTTTTCACTTTGGGTATAACAGTGATTAGGGTCTTATTGATGTCAGTGGGTAATTTCCCTCTCACCACAGCTTCCTGAACCATACAAATCACATCTTCTTTGACGATATCCCAATTTTTTTGAAAGAAGATGGCCTGAAAACCGTCGGGGCCAGGGGCTTTCAGCGGGCCAATGCTGAACATAGCTTTCTTGATTTCCTTTGCGGACACAGGTCTATGAATAAACTCAAGCTCCTCTTTCGGAATTGGAGGAAAAGAGATTGAGGATCTCGGGTTAATAGGGTTCTCTTCTCTACCTGTATAGAGTTGCTGAAAATAATTCACTGCGTGGGCTTTAAGTTCTTCTTTTTCTGAAATCCAGGCACCTTCCTCATTCTTCAAGGCACCAATTCTATTCTTGCTTCTTCTGACTAAAGCAATCGCATGGAAATATGAAGTGTTGCGATCCCCAGACTGGATCCATTTGGAGCGAGATTTTTGGAACCAGATAGTCTCCTCCCTTTTAAGAATTTCTTCATATTCTTTCTGCAACTTCTGTTCCAGGTCCAATAAAAATTGGTTATGGCCTTGTTCCAGAGCTTTTTGAATTCCCCCTAAACGTGCCATGATCCTCTTTTTCTGTAGGAAGACATTTCCAAAAACAGATTTATTCCACATAATTAGTTGTTTCCCCACCTGATCCAGTTTGGAGATGATATTGCCCTGTTCATGATTCCAGGTTTCTCCGAGAAAATCTTTGAAGTGTTTATGGCTCAACCAAGCCGCTTCAAATCTGAAAGGGCGAAGAGCAGGTCTGGGAGTGATTTGGCCATTCAGATCAAGGAGGATTGGGCAATGGTCTGACTTGATTCTGGGGAGATGATGAACCACCGCTTCTGGGAACATGATTTTCTAGCTGGAATTGCAAAGCACCCGATCGATTTTTTCCCATGTGGCCACGATTCCATTTTCTTTTCTTCTCCAGGTGTACTTCTGTCCAATGAAGCCCAAGTCCATAAGTTCACAATGTGAGATTACCTCCTGGAATTTCCTACACCGATTGACATCTCTACTATTAAAATTTGATTTGTCAGCCGAAGAGGCGATGGAGTTGAAATCGCCCCCTAGGGCCCAGGGTCTGCTGGAACTATCACTTTTTTCTTTCATGTATCGCCAAAGCTCTTCTCTATTACCTGGGATGGGGCTGCCGTACACAACTGAGAGATCCCAACTTTTATTATTTGCCTTTACAGAGATAGTAACAGCTTGGAAGAAATGCTCCTCAATTAACACATCAACCAAGTTATCTCTCCAAAGGACATTCCAAAAGAGGATCTTCATGGATGATAAATTTTGAATGGGGGTATTACTCAAGGAGAGGACTGAGTCCCTCCATTGCACAGATTCCATTATCGATAATTGATTCATCGGCAAGGTCACTTCTATCTTCAGGGCATGTGGAGGAGGTGGGCTCCTGCTCAATCTGCATTTCAGAAGGAAGTGATTCACTATCTCCGGGAGAAAAATCACTTCCGGACTCAGATCCTCGCACATCCAGACCGGCATAGGTGCTCTAGTTAGATGTTTCAGGAGGCAGTTCATCAGGAGAGGTGGGAGGAGGATCGGAGAGGGATGAGGGTGAAACGGCAGAAGGTTGTGAAGCAATGGGAGGAGAGGGGAAAGGGTTAGGGATGTCGGCTTCCAGAGAAAAAGAAGAGTTCTCCTGGACACCTACAGGACCTTTAGGTTTTAATTTTTCTTCAGTTTTGGAGCAGGAGATTGGCCCGTGAGAAAATGCCCCAAAGTGAGTTGGTGAGATTTTGGGGGAGCTTGGCCCAAAAGAGGAGAAGGGCTTGGAGTAGGGTTAGAACTAGTGGATGGAACATTGGTGATATCACAGAGGGCTTTAGGAAGGCTTTTGGACTGAGGCTGGGCTTGAAGGACTTTCGAGTTCTTGCCAACTGAGGAGGAGGCGGGCCTAGGGTTCTTACCCGACATAGA